TAAAAGAAAAAATCTAAGAAATTACCAAAGTAATATCAAAATCTGTAAAAGAGAAGCACTGATTCTCTACATATTTATACCTTCAGCACAATGCAAACTAGCACCGTAAAGAAAAAGATTGGCCACTAACCATGTGATCAATGGATAAAACATATGTCTTAAAGAGTTCAACAGTTATATAGATCTAAGTGCGGAGATTCGGTATAAACTACTTCTGTAAGGCCGCATTGACAACAGCAGACTAACTAGTTCGCAGATCAAATTTGGCTGACCCAATTGAATGCTTCGTGGGAAATCCCGAGGATAATGTATTCAGTGTCTGTTAGGAGATTAGACAGCAGCTTTTAAGTGGGTCGCCATATTAGATCCAAGGACTAGTTAGTCCGCTGTACTGAATGCGGCCAAAGAAGCCTAAGACCACAGATCAAATAGGACCCACCCACTCGTAAGCTTGGCTGAAAGCTTGCCACATAATCTCCACTAGAAATCTAGTCAATGTTTATTAAGTGATGACTTGACAAGTTTGAAATGGCCATATTTGACTCACGGGCTAGTTAGTCCGGGGATCGACTGGTTATGAATGCTCTCTCACTTATCTTTCTTTTTTCGTTCGCTCGGCGCACCACGTATCAATCCTGGCATAATTTTTAAAGTCGTCGGTATAAGCATTGGCAATTCTAAAATATTGCAGTTTACACTATATCATTTGCATTTGGCTGCTCAATAATTCAACCCATATAATACAATATTCAAGCCATTTGCTATTTTATTTGTCCTTTGTTCTTCATTGTTTGCTTCATCTTGGACAGTGTAACAACCTACATCTAAAAGCCAGCAGGCACTTTACAGAGGAGCTACCTCAATTTCCGGTAAGCTCTTATGGGGTCGAAAAACAAACAGGCCTCACCGATAGTAAATAAAATATAATAAAGAAATTAGAGAAAACTTGGTCTAAAATCAGTATATGAAAAGCTATTCAAACTGCAAAAGCGATAGAAAGCATTTTACCATTAGTAGATAATAACGCAAAAGGAAACTAGGATCAATTTTCATTAGTAACCAAGGGTTCATTCCCAGTGAAACTTTCGTTTTACGTAGATCGAACCAAACTAGATTCTCGCTGAATGCAATTAGATTGATAGATAAACACGGCTCCTCTTGTTTCCAACTTACTCGTATTACCACCAGGTTTTCTACATTTTGCTCAACGCCAGAAGGATGCGTGTTAATCTCATTCAGCAAGAGTTCCCGTGGACTTGGATCGATCTACATTTCATTGGGAATGAGCCCTAAAATAGAGCCCGATAATTACTTAAAGGCTATCAAAAGAGTTTATGATCCACTTCGTTCCAACATAAAGAACGAGAACCATAAACCTCTAGGACTAAAAACCGTAAATCATGACGGGTTCATTTTTTCTTACAATCTTGACCATTTTGGTTACCACAGGACAAGGAACACCAAGTTTTTTACAGCGTCCCTCTAACTGCGATAAAGATGTACGACTGGCGTATTCCGTTCTCAGCACACACAACGTTGATAACAGACTCCAGTGCTACTTGAAATGCCTTGATGATCCGGCATGCTTGTCCTTCAACTTTGAAGATGTGTCAGAAAACAAGACTCGACTTTGCGAGTTGAATTCGAAAATAGTGGACAAAAGAGGAAACAATTTGGAAACTAAAAGGGGCTTTGCATACTACGAAAAGGTAAATCCTGCTACATAAATCTTCATAATATCTTCTAGCCGTAACAAAACAAAGTAATCTTTTATGTAGCTGGTATATACAAATTTATCTCATCGAAATGGATAAATCTTTGAGGGTATGACAACCATATTGAGCAACCCTGTATATAAAAGCCGTTAAAGAATCAATTTGGAAACTAAAAGGGGCTTTGCATACTACGAAAAGGTAAATCCTGCTACATAAATCTTCATAATATCTTCTAGCCGTAACAAAACAAAGTAATCTTTTATGTAGCTGGTATATACAAATTTATCTCATCGAAATGGATAAATCTTTGAGGGTATGACAACCATATTGAGCAACCCTGTATATAAAAGCCGTTAAAGAATCTTGAGTTTTCGAGAGTTTTCGAGCACATATTGAAAATGTGTTCTGAGAAAGTTTTGTTTCATTTTCAGACGAACGGGTTTGATAAAGGCGTCCAAAGTTGTGCACTCACTGAAGCAAGTAAGTCATTCCAATTGTAACTGCTCTATGATGCTTCCAACGTAAGGGGCTTGTTTAGCGGGAGAAACGTAATTCACATAATCTATGCTCATTTCCACAATCTTTTGCGACTTCTTTTTACGACTATTTGTTAAATATGGGGGTTTCCTTTCTTTTTTCAGCATATCCATACACCTGTATCCAGTTGCAGTCCAAAAACTACCCGACGTACTATTTTACATATGACAGCTCTGATGCTGACAGAGCTAAAATTCTTGAGGACGACAGAAAGACCTTCCGAATCCTTCGACCTGGATTGACGGGAGAGGAAGGAACTGTTTCCATCGAGTCCAACGATAAACCAGGTCACTTCTTTCGGTACCGCGCAGACACCAACGCCGTACATCTCTGGGGAACCGATCCAGAATCTTACAGTCCAGAAACTTTCTACGAGGATGCTACCTTCAAAATTCGATATGGCACCTGGTTTGCCGGATATTTGGCGTTTGAGGCAGCGTATAATCCAGAGAAATATATTTCTCATGGGCACTTTCATTTGTCTGTGAGCTCTTTTCAAGATACTGATGGCTACAAAAACAATGCTGCTTTTAAAATCCGTAAGTACATGGGTGAAATATAGCCCTATAAAGCTGTTGAAATATTTTCGTTTTATCGGTAACAAATGTCGACGTAGGTGCTGGCTTTTGAATCTTGAACACCTTTACTTTTTCAATATTTGATCTCAGCTGCTATGGAAAGGCAGGAAAACAAGATTGAAGGGAATTGTTCAGGGTCTACTACTTGGTCACTGTTAAATAAGATATGTTTAATAAAATATTTAAGAGTTGACTTTGAAATCGGTATAAATATTCGACAGTATAAATTGTAACGATTGATGTTAGGGCTCGTTTAGGGAAAATGACAGTATCAGAAAAAATGATTTTCTTGAGGTGAAAGGAAAACTTGATTGTTTTGACTTCAATTGAAGTTGGCTTTTTTGTAACTGTATTTTTACAGTTCCAGCTCCTACATGCACTTACCTTCAGAAGGGTGTGAAAATGCAGTCCTATAACCTTCAGACTTACTTCATGACGTACGACAGCAATACCAACTACTGCCACATTATCAACGGTGACACCAAAACCTTCAACATTTGGAGTCCCGGTCTAACCGGAGTGGCGGGAACGGTGTCCATCGAATCTGCTGAAAAGCCTCATTGGTTCTTTCGGTACAAGATCTCTAACTCGGCCTATACCAATCTTGAATACCGTCCAGCGCCAGCACAAGGAAGTTCAAATTTTGATGAGGAGGCGACCTTTATCATCAGGCAGGACATTTTACACGCCGGATGGTTTGCTCTGGAAGCTTCTACGATGTCCAACTACTATCTTTATCACTCGGGATATCGAATCTACCTTAACCAAAATGTTCATACGTTGGATAGTGCTGCCTACCGTTTTGTTTAGATAAGACTTTGTATCAAAGATTCGTTTTTTTCGACAGTGTCTGAACATAGCAGTCAATTGTAACATTAAAAGATCCAAAAAGCTCTGTTTGCATTTTTACTATGTACTAAATTACTATGTTTTTGCTGTTTAATTCATATATTTATTTTTTGTCCTCTCACGTTAGTTTTCAGGTCTCCAGAGGATGTTATTCAGAAAATAAAATCAGTGTGGCCTTAGTATAGTACAGTATCAGAGCAAAGTAATAAGTTCATTTGAAAATTAAGAGTTCATGGCTAAATTATATATTAAATGCTTTATGGGTATTGTACGCCTTTATTATACTCCAGATACCGAAAATTAGTTTTTCTTGAATCTAATTATTCAATAATGTGTCTATCTTTGTGCTAATTAAAAAAAAACAATAAAATATTGGCGCCTGTATTTTTCGTTGCAATGTAAAGTATAAGGAACTCAAAGCTTTTATCAAGAAATAGCAATTGGTATGGGGCGTAACTTCATCCCTGAACAAGATTTTATCACGAAAATTGAAATAGTTGACCATAAATCAATGGGCTACAATTCCGTGTCGCCATTTTGGTTAAATAATTTTGTTATGGAGTTGTGATCCCCTAATTACAGATTTTCATTATGCAAAGGTATTATTTTGCTTTATCACTGGTAAAATATGAACTAAGGATTTTAAGAAAAATCTCTGGCAGGGTACTAAATGGTGTCATTAAATTGGCGTTAAAACAGTGTTCGTAGGTGCTCAGGTAAAAGAGAAATTGAGAAAAAAAAAATTCAAACTTTACCCTCAAACCGCAATAGTGACGTCACCCTTTAAGTTGACATGTGGATAACTGAAAAATGAAGATTTATCCGGAAGAATGTGAGGTAGTAAAAAAGGATTTTTTTTTTTTTTTGGCAAAAGCTCATTAATATAGTATCCTGAAAAAACTTGATATTGTTTCTATTATTTCCTTTTTTCGTCACATTGCCAGTTGTGCAGAGATTTCGTCTTCTCTACTGCAATCGTGCGTCACATTGCTTCTTTGATCCATATAACGATTGGGGAGGGGGGGGCTAGAGTCAAGCATTTTTGCGTTATTTTACAATCTCCACATTTGATATCACACACAGAGACTGATAATTAAATTCACTCACTGTTTTCTTAAAATACTTTTGTATCAAAGTGGTTTCTTCACACTATTTTTTATTATGTTCATTATTTTATTTATTTATTTAATATGATTGGTTTAAAGGGGGAGGGGGAGGGGTCATCAAGTCCTTTTCTACATTTCAAAACCCAATTCCTTCCTTGACTCAGTAAATCAACATTTCAACAAGTTATAAAACACTGATGCAATAAAACAAGATGTGAATCAATTTGACAGTATTTAATGCAAATACTCATACAATCCATATCCAGAGTTCAAGTCCTACTGATAAGTAAGAATTTAGCTTCACAACCTTTATAATAAATAAGCATTGGGCTACATACCAGCACGTAGCAGAATTTTTTAATTCTTGCAACTAAAAAACTGGGTGTTCCTTGAAAAATGCCTCAGTTTCCACTAGGAAAACTGTTTCACTGAGCATCATAATTTCAACTTTTGTTCAACATTTCTTGTAAGTTTCCCCTTGCATACAAACTTTCACTCATTCTCTACAAGTGATCATTCATTTCTCAAACACTACAGCACAACAGCAATTGCAAATTTTTGATTGCAAAAAGAAAATTCTCTTAAAGATGATTTTTAAATTATTTCTCTCCAGAATTACTGACATGATGCTAAATATACATATATATAAAATGAAAACAAGAAAAGGACTAAAAAACTTCTGGAATACCAGCGATCCACCAAAAACTACTATCATTTAAACATTGCCCTCATGTTGTTCATTAAGCCAGTCTGAGCTGCTGTAACTTTGGTAAAAGGTGCTAAATAATAAAAGATAAAATTGCAATCCTGCTTTTTTGTGTGGTTTTCATGGTTTCAGTCAGGACTACATCTGATAACAATATTTTAAGTTATCAACGCATTAAAAAAACCTGAACAACACAAACTTAGCAGGTAACTGAAATAAAGTTAATGATAAAATTTGCGCAGTGCTTTCACTGATCATGTCAAACTGTGAGCACAATATTGCCAAGTTAATTTCTGTGGTGTGAAAATTTGTGAAATTGTCAAGATCTACTAATACTATAATTAGGTCTTGAACAGTTTGGAATTACTAATTATCTTTTTATGAAAATTTCAGAATAAAGAAGATGAATGCAATCTCAAAGCACACTGCCTTGCGTTACAACATACTTGTAAGCTAAAATACCATGGCTTTGAAAACCTTTGTTATTATGAATGTATAGATCTTAATGCATTATTTAATGATGAAAATATATAAAATACTTATTCTACTATAGGTATATACACTAATATACAGTGCAGAACAAATTATCAACCCCTCACATTTTACAGATAAGAATGGTGTTTGGTCCCTTATTGAAGGCAGTGAACAAACCAATTATTTCTAGGCAAAACCTGATTGAAAAATTAAGCATCTTTTTTAAAAGCTGTGGCAAAAGTCACCTTTTATCTCTTCAGTATAACTTCAATGGCAACTGAATTGAATAAAGAGAAAACTATACGATAAAAACTTTTTGCAATATGTAAGATATACTTTTAGATGTCCACTTTGGGCTATACTGCCCAACAGGAAGCAGATGGTGAGTAAATCATCAGCAATGAATTGAAGAAATTTGAAGGCCTTCTCATATTGAGTGGTATACTTGAGCAATAGTGTCTGTACCAGTCCAATTTGAGAGAACTTAAACCACTTAACTGTCCAAATTTTAGGTGAGGGGGTCACCTAAACACAACCCCTGTGCTCATGCACACACAGCCAACTGATCAACTTCTGCCTAAACAGTGGGATGGATTCAAGCTAGTTAAAGCCAGTACAACCTGTTTCATAATAACAAGTAAGGATGTGTCCAGTCTAAGTGAAATAGTACAGAATGTATCCTTAAGTGTACTGCTTCATGTGAAAAGGGTCCTGAGCATGACAGTAATCAGCTGACTTATATGTCTACTCCCCATGCTCTCCTAAAACTAAATGCTGTATATGTTAATTAAAATCTAATCAGTGATAGGAAATTCTAAAAAAATCTGAGGGGTGTTGCCACATTTGTAGAAAATGTAAATCGTTTCCGCCAATCATATTTATGACAATTAAAATGTATGAATCACGAGGTCCAGAGATAGGCCAGTCCAGAAGCATGACAAAACTTGGGGAAAAAACTGAGCAACAATGCCATCCAGTTGCAGTGAAAACTTGTTTTCTAGTGAAATCCAGACAATATCCCAAGTCATTGGTGTTGCTTCAAATTATCCATCTAGTAGCGTGATCCACATACTAAAAGACTTCTATATTTATAATCATACTGCACTGTTAAAAAGTATACCATAAATCCAAATGTTTGCCATTGCCCTTGACAGTGCATCCAATATATATACCATCTGAATATAACCAACATTGAAACAATTCACATTTTTGCTGTTATGAGGACTACCTTAGTATGACAATGGAGTTCTCCATGTTCAAAACATGTGGCTGTCCATGACATGTTCTGTGCTCCCAGTAATGTAAGACCAGAAAACTTCACTGCTATCACTACCAGCGTCTTGGTAAAATACTGCAGACGCCAGGAGGCATGAGAGCCAGACACCTGGGGTTCCTTTTGATAAATAAAACCAGTACTTCATGTCTGCTTTGACAGTCCAGTGATGTGCTGATGTGTGTATATATGTGTTATGACATGCGTATCCATATACTAGTACGTGTAAAATCCATATTTCAGTTTTGAATTTTGCACCACAAAGCTGCTGCTGCTACTACACTACTGTGCCCCCTTTGCATCATGTATATCCAGATATATCTGATATATATATATAAGTATATCAAAACCCATGCATCATCTCAGCATACAATGTGCAGCTGCTGTCAGTCTATAATTGTCTGCATTCTTGTTCATTTGGTCAATGCTTTCTTCAGACTGTGTTTGCATAGGCTGTCTCCCTGCTGCAGTGTTATTGTGTAGTTATATTGAATGGAGATCTGGACACAGCTATATTACAGCAATGGGGGCTGGGCAGTGTGAACAGTTTGTTTTCTTTTATAAAATATCATCCATTAAAGGACAGTGAGCAACCTGAAACAGATTTGCAAAATATCAATTCTTTGTGCCTTTTCAAATGGTTATAGTCTTTTTGCATTAATGTTTGTTAAGTTCAGCTGTAGATCATTATTATTATTATTATTATTATTATTATTATTATTATTATTATTATTATCACAAAACCTTTCAAGAATATTTCAAAATGTAGCTGGTGCAAGTCTTAAGTCTGCATCTGGTATTTTCCACTCTTTTAAGGTTATAACATATATGAAATGTATATTATTAAATTTGTATCTAACTCCACTTACCCTCATGACTTCTGTACATCTTGTAAATCTCTAACATCTAAGTGAACACTAACAGGAGATACATGGTCATAGCCCCCCTTGGACGACATTTGTCCCTGTATGGAATTCACCCCAGGCTGAAATAAGACCCAAATTATTTAAAATTTAAAAAAACTTTATTTGTTTCAGAATAGCCTGATGTGTCACTTAATATATTTCTCTCTCACAGACACATGCGCACGCGTGTACACACACACGCGTGCGCATGTGTCTGTGAGAGACACATGCGCACGCGTGTACACACACACTCACACACACTTATAGATAAGCAATTAGATATAAAACAACACCATACATATCTGATATCCGTTAAAAAATCTTTAACATTTTCACTAGACATATTATCAGTCTCCTTTAAAAAGTTTTTAATAATTTAAAAATATGAATGGGCTAAATAATCATGTTGCACGATTCAAAATAATTGATAAACCATAAGTAAATCAGAGCACTTACTGAGCTAAAATTGGATACATCCCCTGATCCTATGTGTCCTGTGTGTTGGAAATTGGTTGGTAGACCTATCATACTCCTGTCTATCCTCCTACGCCTCTTCTGGAAAAAATATATATTGAAAATTGTATGTGACATTTATCAAGAAAAACAAAATGTAAATGGTGAAAACGATTAATATCTAGGGAAACTTGAAGCTTTGAAATTTTTCAGTGTCAGTGGAAAAACATTTTTAAGCACATGGGCAATCTCTTTGAAGTTACAGTAGATGAGAAAAAACTCTTGTTCTCAAGGCCAACATTTGATTTATATGCTTTCCTTTAAATTGCATTTCACTCTTTTTATTTCTATTTTTTTCTTGTAAAATTCTATAGAAGGGAATTACCATTAAGGTAGTGTGTACAGGTTTGGGGTAATGTATTTGAAATAAGTGAACCTATCTGAACTGAACAACTCCTTCACTTATTTTCTATTTTCCAAGTTTTTATCCTAATTATAAGTTTCAAAAAACAACTTGATAACTCATTACAAAAACAATACTGAAAAAAGTTCCCCTCATTTAATTTACTAACCTTGCATGCACACATTCAGCACTGTTTTAAAATACAGTTAATGTGTTAACACAGAGTTTGAGATAGAGAGAGAGAGAGAGGCTAGACTTTTTACTGTAATGAGTCTATCTGCAATATTTGTAATATGTATTCAACACATGCACGCAGACATCTGCGTGCACACACACACACACACACACACACACACACACACACACACGTGCACATACACACTTCCAAGACTAGTCTAAGTTAAACCTGAAATAATCCAACTGGCAGAGAGAATAACATTTTATAAAGTTTCACAATAAACAACCTTGCTGTCTATTAGTCACAAACCGATTCCGAAAAAAAAAAAAAAAAAAAAAAAAAAAAAAAAAACAGCTTTGAACACGCCTTTACTCACCGGCTGTGGTTGCTCGGCAACACAGCACCTAAAACAGACTAGCACGTCACTCATCTTGTGAGCAGCGGAGGACCCCAGCTTGACAGGCGGACTCTTCACCAGCTTAACTGCAATCAAGAGAAAGGAATATTAACACACAGAACATATGGTATAAGAACAAGACCCACCAGTTTCAATGCAATCAAAAAATATACATACTATAATACATATATATAATTATATCATTGTCTGTAAGCAAGACCTAATATAGGAAGGGTATGTCAGCTAAACCACGATCAACAAGGAAGAGACAGAACAGGAGCTAGGAATGGACTGAATACATCCTTGTGTGCTGAAATATAAACTTTTCCATTATATCTGCAGAGACATAGGACTGCAGGTCACAATAATAAAATAATAATAATAAAATGGCCCATTCTTAAAATTGAACCAGTCCATTTTTAGTTATATTTTTCTGGACATGTTTTCTCCCCAGACATCATGTTGAGAAGAACCAGAGCTGGCATATGGGCCCCAGCACCACTTTACTTCACTGTGTGGAACAACTGTTGTCCTTGGTACAAGCAGTGGCTATTTCCTTTAGGCCAGTTTCCACTCAGTCTGACCCACCTCAGGAAGAAGTCTAATGAATTGTGATTAGCTCACCATAAGTAGCCAATCTAATCTATCTGTTGCCCCACCTGTCATCACTGTAATTGAAATACATTGCCTGTCATAACACTGCCTTGCTATGTTAAGTTAATAATATCCAGATTTCCTGAGCTGAAATAGTTCATTCTAAGTAAGGCCCACCTATCTCCAGTGGAAACTGGCCTTCAGATTTGTGAAGAGGTCCATGGCTAGGTCAGTCTGTCATGTAGACTAAAGCCCAACACACAATTACACTGGTCAACTGTCAACAAGAGACAGCCTTTCTAAATACTATTATTGTTTTTTATTTAAAGAAGCATGTAAAACAATCCATAAACCATAATTTATAGAGCTTCAAACTTTTGTTTCCTTTTCCAATGCATGAGACAATAACATAAGTATGAAAAAAAAATACTGACAAAAAAAATACTGTAGTAAAATGTTTGATTATGTGGTCTTTATATTACCAAGGCCAAAATGTTTGACAATGTTTCTGGTTAATCTCCTTGCCTGTGTTAGGGAGGCTCAGCCTTTTACAAAGCAATTTTCCAATCCTGACATTGGTTTTAAAAAAGAATGTTTTGGCGTTTGCGTGCTATGTGCCAGTAACCAGCTGTTAGGAAAAGCTTGCATATTTATAAATATTAAATGCAACAAAGATCACACCCTTATGATGACTTGTCAACTGAAAAATCATACTTAATTCAAACCTATGTATTATTTTGGAAGCTGTTCTTCATACATTTCATATTGCAGGTGTCTTTTATAACATAAACTTTACTGAGGACTGGAAGTGGATAATAAACATGGCATGATAATTTTTATCTGACATTAAGTCATATTTATTACTTATTCCTCCTAAGGAAAAAAAAAAACATTCACAAAAATGGCATCATTCATAGTAGTAAACACAGTGAAAAAGTCCCAGTATAAAATACAGAAAGCCTGATCTAAAATGGCAGTTTTAATGCCCTTACTCCAAGATGTCAACCCTGTAAGAACTTACTGATAAGGTCCAATCCGGTACAAATTCATAACAAGTAAATATCAAGTTTCAAAGTGAATCAAGTAACAGCATTTCAAGCCCGTTTCACCTCATTCTGGCCAGACTTCCCAGCATTCTGTGTCATGGCATAATTTACAAAAATTGAAATTATTTTAACATGGCCTTCTAAACCACTACATCTGAGTTTCCATCCACATAAGATATGAAGATATGACTTGAACTATAAAACAGCCCATAAATTTATCATGTCCTCATAACATGTTTCATAACACACAAAGAGGTGACTCAACCAACTTTTTTTTTTTTCATCATCAAAATAACATTTTCTTACCTTTTTCTTTGTCGGGTCAGTAAGTCCTGTTTACCGTGGGGAAAAACGGTCCTGTTTTTTTAAAAAACTTTATCTCTGCCTTACTTAGATAACAGTTTCTCATCTCATGACAAGTCTCTCAACAGATAACTGTGTGCTACCGCTTTTTATGTTTTGTTTATTCATGTAAGCCGACACAAGTCAACTGTACGATCTTATCACCTTTTGCCACTCGGTTCACGAGCCGATGAGAAGAAAAGGTCTAGGTTACAGGTAGATATGTGCGGCAACTTTAACATCAGAGCTCTGATTAATTAAGGTATGCTTCCTCATCTTGGTAATCAATTCCCCTGTTAATATCCAGCATTATCAGAAGTATGGTGAACTTTTCAACCTCCATATCAACCTATTAGGTATATATACATGCTCTTTTTATCACTCCATGAGAAATGTTATTCCCTCACTTACCAAAATGTTCACAACACCTGTCTGGTTTTGATGCCTTTATCTTTCAAGGTCATTAAAAAGAACACGTCCTTATCATGCATAATATATATGATTCTTTCTCCCTTCTCTGCTTACCTTGTCCTTGGAAATGATGTCTTACTGCAGTAAAAATAAGTATAGCATACACCAGAAAGATGACCGGAGTGAGAGAAAAAAAAAACCAAAATGGGAATTTTTCTAAGACTGAGCAGAAAAAATTTTATACATGTATCCGGATTCTTAGTGCGCTGAAAAAAACACCATGACATAATAGCGTGTCACAGTTAATTAACTTTCACATCTAGTCAGACACACTGAATTCATAAAAAACAAGAATTTTCAATGTGTTTTATAATACAGTCTAACCATAACATTTTTAAAGATCCATGTCTATATATAAACACTGTTTCTATCAGACTAGATTTTTAACAATCACAAACTGTACTTTAACTCAGCCACTTCGGGGCACTGTAGTATGTATACGTCTTAGCACTAAAAGGTGCCTGGATGACGGCAATTTTAATTTTAATTGGTAACAATATTACTTCATCAAACAACAGAAAACAAAAACTCTGTATCACCATGCACGTACCGAGTTAAAATCTATTTACTCACTAAACATACTTCTGCTGCTTAAATGGCACGAATAGGTACACTTGAGAGACTTTTAAAGTTGACTTTCCCACTTCAGCAAACAAATAAAAAATATATAATACCTTTACTTTCCACACAAGAACATTCCATTTCATCGACTGGAGCTCTGACCCCTTTGTGCATCCCCATCTGGTAAATATTAATATTTTGTCACCACTCTCACAGGACTGTTCTTTAAAAAAGTCACCTCGAGATCGACCACCTACTGTGACAGAAACCCACTTTAGCCTTAACTTCATTAATCCAGCCAGGTAAATAGTTTCATAAGACCCCCAGGATGGCTGCCTCTGCCCAGAGAATGCTAAATGAATGGTGATAAATGCAAATTCAACAAAGCATAATATCTATTAATCCTTTACCTCTGATAAACTCTACCAGAGATTAGTTAAATTTGGTGACGGGGATTTGTTTGAAGGTGGCATGTGGGGGGAACAGGTTGATTAAGTGTTTTCTAATTGTTTCTCTCTACCATCCATTACATGTGTACTACATGAGTACAGGTAATTAAACCACTGGGAGGATGATTCGTTAAGCCGGCTCATCTCCTCGTTAAACACGCTCTTCACCTGAGACAGCTTATTAACAGTTAGTAGCTATTAATTTTACCTTTGAGCTACCTCTTAGACTGGTTATGTTTTTTTTTAACATTTAAGCTCACTTGTATTTAATTTGTGGCATTTTTATAATGTGTACAAATAACAATCTTTGGACTTAACTTTAATAAAACAACAGAGAAAGAAAGATAAATTCCAAAATATACAAGTTTGGTTAAAAAAAAGTACTATCACCATTATCCTATTAATTTTACATGTTATATATGAATAATGAATGAATAAATAAAAGTGCATCTGTTCACCCAAGGACTTCGTTAGACCAGAGTTGGTCCTATTTGTATCAGTGTAGCTTGCATAAGACCTTGAAGACCGACTTTCAGGTCTAAAACTATCCTTGTGTGAACACACCCAGTGATGTTGAATCCATGAACCACCTAACACTAGTAACAGTGCAGATTATTCCCATACCTGGCCTGCTGGCAGCTCAGTCTGGGTGGCGTAATGGCATGCCCTCCCAATACCTTGAGACACCTGAACTCCTGATTTATTCTCACCTTTTATTACCACACTGAGTGCTACATGCAACTGAAGGCAACCGATAGCAATCATCATCACTGTTAAATTCATATTTCACCTTTTGTGCACCTGCTTGTCTGTCAAATCAATCCAGTATCTTAGAGTTCCAGTGTAGTAGATAGAAAGTGATAAGTTTGCTACTGAAGGATTCATTAAGAAGATGGCCATCACACCTTTCAAACAAGGTCTGTGTAATTGTTTATAAAAATGAATCAAGAGCACAAAAAGTATCTTGCTACAGTAAGTTACATCAACTATCGGGGTAAAAAAGTCCATTTTTTCAGATAAAGGCTCCACCCCACCTTTTCCATGGAAATCCCTGGGTATGGGCCTGATAGTTCTGGTTGGTAAAAGCTTTTACTGACTCTTCTAGTACACCTAGTCCAAAAACAAGGGTGGTGCACATCTATTGGCTAATTGTTTAAGAATGAGCGGCACAGTTGCCGCAGTTAATTAAAATATCTTCAACTCCAAATTTGTCACCTAAGTTCTGCCATGTGGAAAACTGACAACCCCTGACATCCCACCTCCTGTGACACTGACAATATGTGACAACCTAGTTCTGAGAGAGAGAGAGAGAGAGAGAGAGAGAGAGAGAGAGCACACAAGCACTACAGCTTACTAAAATTACATAATGAACGGATGACTTAGCACCTCCCCTCCCACCCCCCACCCCCATCCCCTCCCACCATAAAAACCTGAAATCCCATTATGAACACTGCCTGGGTGTGCACACCTTATTACCTGCTGGGCCACAGTTACAGGTTGTCAGTGCACTATATTATAATTTATATGGTAGTCTGGGTAAGTTGCATTGTTGTGGTGATAGGACGTATATCATCCTGGTAAAATATACTACAATTCTTTATCTGCAGGCTACAGCACTCTTTAGAACTAATGATCATGTATAGAACCAGACACCTATGATTATTTTGTGTCAACAGTGGTAAATGCTACATAAATTATTTCACGTGAAGCAGATATTTAAAGAAAGGGTTTCTTAAAAATGTAAGACAGACAGAGCCATCTTATGATGAACTGGAAAAGTACTAGTAGGTAGAGCCCAAACCTCTGCCAAGAACGATTGATTAACAATTATCAACAAATAAATTAATTAATGAGCCCCTACCAAAATTTAATTAATTTAAGTTACCCTTTTCTAAGGTATCCTGAAAGTTTTATCAGGATCTGTTCAAGTTCAAAACTTTCTGGATTATACTGTTAACCAGCAAAACAACAAAGGCAATAACACAACATCCTTGGTGGAGGTACTAACTGTTAAAATCCACAGTATTTTAGATACTTGTATATAAATGAAATGCTAATTGTGTCTAGGTCAGCACAACAGCTGAGCTCTCTATTTAACATGCAACAGGCAAGGCACTCAGGAAATTACATGATATAAGCATCAAAGCTGGGAACTTCAAAAGGCTGTCTCTATTTCCTAAAAATAAATATATGTTGATGACTAATTATTTTTTTCTGAAATAATTCTTTGAATGTTCCAAATGGTACAGTCTGTGTGTGTTCCTATTTTAATAATATTGCACTGTCACCCCTTCCTCCCCCCCATATCCCCACCCTAGGTTTCAGAGGCTAAAAGAGACCACCCCTCATTTTAAGGAGACATGAAGCACAAGCCAGTTTACAAGAGTTCTTGCACAGGGGCAGATTGAGGCCGTCTTCTGGGTCTTCCAGAAGACGGTCAGATTTTCAAGTTTATATTGAGGGGTATCTAATTTTTTTCTGTATGAAGACAGTCAAAAAATTGTAGGATGGATCAACAAAGATAATTCGGAAGAATGTCAGAAAATAACTCTGGATCTGCCCCTGTTGTGCACAATACTCTCATGTACACTTTATCTGGAGTAGCAGTACAGGACATTCCTGTGTGTTCAAAGTGAACACTATATCTAGATTTATGACCAGGTTTGATAAGCTATATTACCTGATAGCCTGAGACAGACACAACACTGAAGACACAGGAATGGGCATCGTCTTGGTTGGCTCATAGTCTAGCGAGATTTCATGAGATTTGGAGGAGAGTGGAGACAGAAATAATGGCAGACTAGTGAGTGCAGGGTAACAAGGAATAACAGCTGACAGAATTTGTCCATGGATATTTTCTGGTTGTTTTTTGTCATTTCAGTTGAATGAGTGTATCCCACAACATTGTGAATATCACCATGTTTTACGTGCAATTTTCCTACTATTTTATAAGACAACATTCCTGGCACATGGAGTTTCACCCTTACTACTGTAAAGTTAACACCACGTGGCACATCTTGTGGTGACAATCTATTTGATGGCTACCCTGTATGATTTCAATTGCTACAGTCCTGAACTACTGTTAAGTGTTTGGTGTTAACCATCACCAGAGTGCACACAGCCCCAGAAAATATTTCATTTATTTTCATTCAGATTTTAATTAATCAACAGTGAAATGCACATCACCAGGTTCATTAACACTGGGCTGGATAGGTAGCAATAGGACTTATCACAAATCTGTCAAGTGATTTTTTTGTAATCTAAAAAACAAAAAATTAATTTTGATGGATTAGCCCACACACAAATACAAAATAACTGTTCTAATTAAGTTTCATATTAGTAGTCGACAACAGCTAGTTTTTTAAAGTTTAGGTAGGTAAAATGAGTTTTTTGGTCAACTCAGCAGGCTTCAGCCATAACACGGCATGGATTAGAAAATGGGAACATTAATAATATACAAATGAAAAGAGTCATTTATAAAAAAAATCCCATTACACACAGATAATTTAGACAAATGGGCTTGGATTTTACTGTATATCAGAAGATCATGAGAGGTGAAGTATGGAGTACGTGAATATAGTCTGGATGACAATTTCACCTTTTCAATTCATACTGCCTGCAGGTTTTAGTGCCCTGTGCCACAAAGTCAATTTGAACAGTGTCAGTTTCTGTTTGTTGACTCTAAATATGCTCTCTTGATTATCTCTTTGTCCCAGTACAACACAGCTTGTCCAAAATACAGCACATGGATAAAAGGGAATGAAAACATAAAAATGCCTCTCATTTATTGCTGATGCAGTGTTTATGCACCTTTAAGAGACTTCAGTTAACACTGAACAAATAAATTTGTTTTTTCACTAGAAAATAAAAGTATACAAATAACATTTGAAACGGTAAAATTGGCATCCAGTGCCTAATGTACTGTGTTTATTAAAAGCAAGAGAAACCACTGGTTCCTATAATGGATATTCTACACCCTTTCTTCACCTGAATTAATATACACATAGATTGCTGGAGGCGATAAATCTACATCTCTCAACGCCATTTCACATTTTCTTTTTCATTAAATAGCCAAATCACATTAGCGCAACTTCTGGGGGTCCTTCTAGCACTTTTGATGAAAAATGACACCTATTTCCTTACACAATACCTTGTGAAATAACCCCCTTTATTTTAGAAGGAGTTAAGCATGAGCTTCATGCTCAAAATTCAGTAGAAACTGGATGTGTTACAGTACATGTGTGGCTTTCTAACCTTTCTGTCAGCTCTTTCTAGTCCCAGATCTATACGGCCTTTTTCTATTATCAGAAAATGAAGGTAATCCAATATACCAGTATTGTACTGATCATCCTGCATGAAATTACCTCATCCTAGACGTAACCACCTTGTACAGTATTCATCATTCATAATAGTCTGTTTGCAATTTCTTCAGCTGTCCAATAAACACTTCATATATCCATCTCTGCTGCATATATCTATGTACAACATATGCTGCATGGCTCTATAAACTGCGCTCTACGAAAATATACCATCAGAATTCTACTGTATGCACTTTGTAGTCATGTCTGCTGATTATGAAAGAGAATGTCACTCTATATGGTGGTGAAGACTGGGATAGATCCATTCATTTAGAATAACTTTACCAATGCTTTAAAAACTGTGATTATACCTTTGCAATGTTCAGTATTACATCCCTATCTGGCTATAGCACATCCATAGACTACTATAATCATGTCCCCTTGACAACTACAATCTGCCTACAGAACTTCTCAGTATTTTTACAGAACATGTCTTTTGCAGCATGTATCCTATTAT